CCGGCAGGTAGTTTTCCGGGGATCCTGTGCATAGCCATGAATTCTGGAAGATGCAGAGGCAAACATTCCAAAATTGTAATCCAGAAGCAAGGTCGACAGTAGAAACTAGAGATCAGTTAACCAGAAAGAGCCGAGACAAACCGAGAAGACAATCCAAAAGGTGAAATCCGAGAGACGAGATCAAAAGGGAAAAGTTAAGTCCAAAAAATGGGAAATCCAACAAGACAAAAACATGCACTAGAAAACACTAAAGGAGGCTTTTCAATAGTGAGCATGGTTTGGTGCGTGAGGGAACTTTAAATAGTGACGGGAGAGGGACGTGTTTGGATCATTGGTTCAGGAGTGAGAATCTGTGGAATCTGGTTCCTGTGAAAATGTGATGGGTTCCGTTAGAAATGGGAGCGTGAAACAGTGGGTTTTGGAATATTATGGCTTTTGCGACGGCAAGTCCGGGGCGTGACAGCATCCAGATCAGAAATAGTCATAAGGAACCATACAGTATGTGCTGATGGAGTTGCTTTCAGACAGTCCAAGGTCCTGACTACTTGTCTGATTGATAATTGCTCCTCTTGGCTTGCAAAATCTGGTATAACTACAGTTCCCCTCTAATCCAACCTCTAATCCAATTCATTAGGTGAAGCACTTTCTTACGTCTCCACTTGATGTGCTGTGTATTGGGCCTGGCTGGTGTAGAATTGCTGCCACACCCCAGGCAGGTGGATGCTGCCCTTCTTTGGGTCCTATAAGCGGAGCACTTTGGGATCCCTTAGGATGAAAACTTTCTATAAAAATGCAAATAAATCTAACCAAATTAGAGTTGAGTGTGGGGCTGCATCAGTGTTCAATCTAGAAAAGGAACAAATTGTGGTTTATCTATCTAAATGTAAAAGGCACCAGAGCCAAACTGTAACCTTCCTTCTTCCATTATATTTTTTGGCACAGAATTATACTCTACTTGTTCCTCTAGACATATTTAGGCTTGAGTTAATAACTGTGCCTGCTAGCCACTGAATTTCTAAATGGCCTGGATGCGGTATCCCTTATGAACCTAATTCACCATATATACTGTATATACAACATGTTATATGCTCAAGGGAGGGAGCTTGATATACTGTACATCACATGGTGTATATTCTCTAAAACAATGTTGGACTTTATCTCAACAAAAGAACTGAAGGGCTGTCAGACCTCTCACAGCAAAGCTGCACTGGATATAAATGTAATAGGAAATGTAACAGGAACATGCACAGTATGTTACTTAAAGCAAAACACTATACAATATACAGTACTGTAATGTTTTATTCACTCTATACTGATCTCCACTTCACCCATAAGGCCATAGCGCTCTTTTATAGAAGGCCACTGGGTTGAACTAACAAAGCACAAGGGCAAAAAGAAATGTATATACAACTGAAAACTCCCCTGTCAAATCTACCAATATCCTTTCATGCCAATGAATTCTAAAAGTCATTTTTTTCTGTCCCAATGACAGGGAAATTTCATCCATAATGCATGCTTGGCAGCAGACCTGCTGGACAGGAGATGGGCGTGGGATCTTCCCTCTGAACCCTGTCAATAACACAGCCAGTGGAAGGCTGTGGAATGGAATTTCGCAATTCCTACAAAAACATTGCTGACACAAGACTAGGCACAAGACATACAAACTGTGAAACTCTATGGTGCAGGAGGGGAATGATGGGGTCTTTGTGCATCGATAGTGAAAATAAAAAAAATAATGACATCAGACTATATAAGCACACACATGCTGCTAATAATGAATGTGTACAGTACATTAGAACACTTTACCTGTTATTAATAACACACAATAAATAATTAGCAGAGCATCATTTGCTACCATAGTGTCAGGTGATGACAGTGTTATAAATGTCATTTATATAGTAAGACCCCAATGTAAGGTGTTTCTAGATGTCAAAGTGCAGTAACTGTTTGGGTGACTGCAATCGTTAAGATGCAAAATGACAAAGATTTGGAGCACAACTCATACTGAAATTGTGTAATGTTTTAACTGGAAGGGTACATGCTTGATGCTTGTAATAATACGGAAACATTATCCTATCTTGTATACACCTGAGTATAATACAAAGTAAGGCAATATCAAAATCTAGTGTACTGTACTATGTCTGCTCTTGTTTTCAGGTTAAGGGTTAAAATTGGGTTTTTGTTTTACATGTGGTCTCTCATGTTAATGATGGAACATTGGCAAAAAGAGCATTTAGTTTTATAACTTCAATTATCATTATGTTATGGTAAACATCTAAACCTGAAATATTTTTCTGGTTTATTGCATTGTTTCAGGTGATGTGAACACATTTCACTCACACTGTCTTCACTGTGTACTGTGATACATGGAATCATGGATAAGACCAGTTATATTTGACCAGTACCCAGACTCGTATGACAAAGGCCTGTTCTGCTCTAATATCATAGAAACACTATATTCCCTTGAAGTTTGCCTGTTTACTATGAGTGACTGTAGGTATAGATCTTCCTTACATGGTTTTTTTTATTGGTAACATTTAAAAGTGTTATTAAATATTAGTTTTATCAAATTATTTCTATAGCAGTTCATATTGAAATAAGTAAAAATATTTTTTTCAATACAGTACAAACTAGATCTGGATCTTTGTTGTTTTGCTGGCATTCTACAGAGAACTTTTTAACTGAAAAACAAATACTGTCTGAAGATCACTGAATTGATCTGAAGATTATTGAAGTAATGGTGTAGAATGGAGGAATAAAAAACAGCAAGTGCAACAGTTTAATGTACTGTAACCAAGGTCTGCCTTTCTTGGGTACAGAAATCACCCAAAATTAACTTTTCACTTCAGAGGTAATACAAGTGACGTTGCCTACTTACTTTTGAGTTTTAAAAGGCAATTTCAAGAATAGGTTTAAAATTGAACATTTTAAACCAGAAAGTTTGGTCTGAAATGCCAATGCCTTACTTTTTATGAACCAACTGCAATAACTAAACGTTTGATGCCTCATTTGTATCGCAGTGCAGAAGCAAATGGAATTGAGCCATCCCTGGATACAGTATGATAAATTCAGTTATTTTTTTGTCCTTCTCTTAATGGAGCAGAAGAATCACAGTGTAAACACTCAAAACACTTTCCCTTCCACACAGTTCCCAGTTAGGTGTCCAGCTGGCTGTCAAATGGGATAACAGGAACACGGTTGCTATAGTAACTCAGCCTTCACCTAGGCCTGCTCTTATTCAAATGTCAGCAAGGCCTGTGTATCTCCCCAAAGAGAGGCTAAATAGATATTAGTTAGGAAAACATCAGAGGGAGATGTTACTAAATTCCCTCTTGTGCATTAAGTACTATAGACAAAATAGGATTTGTGAGTGCCTAAAACATTTGCAATAGCCACGAGCATCAAATACAACCGAATGCTCCATTAAAACCTTCATTTAACATACTGTATAACTTGATCTACTTGGTTCTTCTGCCAATTGTTTTATTTAAAATGTAGTAATTAAAATATTTTACATAGTTTCCTATACACCTTAGAAAACAAGAATCTGATGTTACACACAAAGAGAGGCCAATCGCCTTAAGTTTGTGCATTAATACTAATGCAATAATAACTAATACAGGAGGACACTTACTTTATTATCCAATGAACTGCAGCACCTGCTTGCTGATGTTCACCAGCTATCTTCCACTAGATAGCAATTCAGGTAAAGCAGTAAGAAACTACTTCACCAACTAAATTAATGGGAATGGTATGTAGGTAGGTCAACTTGTGAACCTGTCAAGATGAAGGGATTAGTAACCCTTACTCCTCTAAACTTCCATTGAGCTGCAATACATAAAAGGAGCAAGTCCACAAATCTCTAACAATTTGGCTTTTTACTTCCTAACTAAAACCAGACTAGGAAAAATATTAGTAATAATTATCTTGGAGTGCCAATAATTTTCAATTTCAAACCAATGATCTTGCAAAGGTTTGTACCCTTCTCTTTCTTTAAGTGTAAAATCCAAGTCTTCAGTACACCCACCTAAGTCTCAATACAAAAACAAACCACTCTGGATTGCTGCACCTTATATACTGTACACACAGACCTTAATTGACACCATCTATTATATTCTCAGGTAACTCAGAGACTCCTTCAATTTGCCAACAAGGAAACCTACTGTACAGGAAGTTCTAGATAGACTCCTTGGACTAAACAAAACAGATAGGAAATTTGAAGAGGGAAAGACTAATCAATATCATTGGCCCACAATAGCCTAAATCTCTATAACTTTACCCTGTACTCTGTCAGAGGACTTATATATCTTTGTAAGGTTGGTATTAATCAAAAGCACAGTTCTAATGACAGCACGTATATTACCAGCAGCAATCTCACCCTGCAACACACAACTGGCAACCCACTGTAGCAGAGCAGGTGTGAGCCTGGTCAGTACCTGGATGGGAGACCTCCTGGGAAAAACTAAGGCTGCTGCTGGAAGGGGTGATAGTTGGGCCAGTAGGGGGTGCTCATCCTATGGTCTGTGGGTCCTAAAGCAGCAGAATAGTGATGGGGACATTATACTATAAAAAAGCGCCATCCTTATGTTGAAATGCAAAACCAAGGTCCTGACTCGCAGGGCGTTTCTCAAAAACAGTAGGAGTGTTACCATGGCGTCCTGGCCAAATTTCCCATTGGCCTTTACCAATCATGGCCTCCTAATAATCTGAAACTATGAATTGGCTCCTTCATTCTGTTCTCCCCACTGATAGCTGATGTGTGGTGAGTTTACATCATCCAGGTGGGATGCTGCACATCAGGGGAGCATAATTAATATTATTATTGAACCCATAAATACTGTCTTTTCCAGAAACTCTTAAATAAAGCTGCTCAGGTCTAATAAGCCACTCGACAAGAATCAATTTAAGGCCTTCCAGTGTCCTAGGATAGAGCCATATTTGTGACAAACACATGAGTCAAGCCTTCAATGGCAGACACGAAAAAAAAGCAGCAAAAGCAAGACATTTCACACCAGGCTTTATTAATAGAAATATATTTAGAAAGAAAGACACGAGTTACTGATTTCAAGTGGGTCTGAGTTTGTTTTCCTTGTAGAGTACATTGTGGATCAAGTCTCTGACGGCATTGGTATCATCAGGCTCTGTTAAGACAAAGAAAGAGAAACACAGTTAGGCTCTTGAACCATCTTCAGTTGTCCATAGGGTAATGTACTGTAGGCTTTTGTTTACATACCTCTACCATGTTCCTTTAAATATGTTTAAGGTGAATTTGCAGCACAGACTTGTAGATGTACTGTGAAGTGAATTTGCCATTTTTCTGACTAGTACATAACCAGCACAGCCAGTTTTTTTCCCAGATGACATAAGGAAGCATGTCACTGTAGTTGAAGTAGAACTCTTCCTCTCCTTCTTCCCTTACCAGTTTATTCTCCTACAACATGCAGTTCATGGAAAATTAAATAGGATGTTTCAGAACAGAATTAGAAGTAATTATCTCAAATTGAAATTTTAATCACCTACATTTTGGAAATAGAGCTTAATGTTAAAAAGCTTAACGTAAATGATATGCTGGATCCAGAACCACAGATGCAGATTTCTCCTTGTCTGGTCCTGCCTCTATGCCTGCCAGAAAATGATTGTAGAAGCCACAGTCTGCACCCAGGGTCCTACAATGCATTTGTGCCAGACAACCTGAAACCTAGACGCCCTCTCAAGTGCAGAATTACAGACACTCAGTCTATAAGAAGAACTAGTATTGCATTATTCATGAATAATGTTTGCGTCATTTGACAGATAATTCGGCTGCAAACAATAATGATACCACAGTATATGTAACATGTTATATCATTTCAGAAATGTTTTCATAATGCATAATACATTTAAGTCATCTTATACATTTGATAACTTTTAAAGGCAAAATTAAGACAATGGGCAGAACCTTTATGAACATTTGTCAGTTCCAACTGCAACTTATGCATGTACAGTACAAAATCCTCAGAATGTCAGTAAACTTTATTAACACAGAGAATACCTTAAGCATTGCATAAAATACAAATGTTTCAGTGATTTGTCTTGAAGAAAGACAACAATATTTTTATATTTATATATTCTCCTTTAAGCAATGGTTTAGTGTTTGTTATTATTGATGTTATTTTCAATGGGCTGTCTTTTGTTCCTCTTACTGTACATTTTCTATACTCACGATTGTAGAAGCAAACACACAAATAGACATCTAATTAAATTTGCTGATGACACAGCCCTGGTCAGGCTATTAACCTCCTGTAATTAATGGTCAGGCTATAGAAATTGACAATGACTACAAGTACTTGGGACTGGTCATAGGTAAAAACCTTAGCTGGGTTAAATGCTGCAACATAATTTATAAAAAAGGACAACAGAGACTCTTTAAGCTATTACAAGATACATAGAACCATCCTAACACTTTTCTACAACTCTTTTATTGAAAGCGCCTTAACATACTGTCTCACTTGCTGGTTTGGTAACGTCACTACAATTGATTGTAATAGGCTTGAACATTAAGTAGCAAATTAACTGGGGCAAATCAAATCACCTTAAATATCCTCTACAAACAGAGGGTGGCAATGAAAGTAATGTGTCTCAAATCATGAGTTTCACTAACAGTGCTGAACCTGAACCTTCAGACCTGTTGCATCCTGTGGGTACGCAGTTTTGCTGATAGGAGAGAATAAAGTAATTTCAGAACAGCATAAGCTTTTAAGTCCTTCACACATAAAGTAAAGGCACTAGAGAAAGTACAGTACAAATGTGCCAAAATTACTTCATAATTTAAACAAGTCAAGACTATACAGGGGAAAATAATATTTTAAAAAAGCACTGCACATTGGGAAAGAGAACACAAATCCATTAACCATGTTTACATTAACAAATGATGTTAAATGGACTGAGAATGCTTCCCAGGCATAAATATGAATAGATATTTTTAAACATTTTTCTGCCCAGCAGCAGATGTACAACCACGGAGAATCATGCACACTAGCAGAAGCATTATGAGAACAGGATATGGTGCATGGCGTGTTACTGATAAATGTATACTATTCAAGTAATGCCCTTTGATTGGCTAAAAATGATAGTTTAGTATGGATACCTGCCAACCTTCCATGGATGCTATCTGTGCTGTAAGGCACTATTGAAGTAGAAGTATTGTTGCATGTTTACCTGTGAGACACCAGTGGTCCTCGCTATCATATCAAATTTGATCTAAGCCTCAACCAGGGAAAATCAACTAAGAATAAAATGGATTCTGCCTGCTCCCGTGTCAGTGGCTCTGATACAGTTGTCGACTAGGCAGGAGAGATCAAACACAGAGAATCACTTAAATGTGACAGCGGTTGAGTGAAGTCCATCTGGGGCCGAAAAAGTGGCGGAAAGTGCTGCTTCAAGGTAGGCTCACAGCTAACAGCCCTGAAATGATCAGCAGGTTGAGAGAAAACAATCGAGAACATATGGGAAGAAAACTCCAAGAGGAGAGGCAACAGTTGGGTGAGAATGCCTCTGTAAGAGATACTGATCCTGCAGTAGGAGCAGGACAGAGAGACAAGTGAGGATAGACCATGATGCCACCACAGACAGAAGATGGCAGCTGAAGGATGTCAATGTCTTGATGAACAAGCAGATGGGTTTCTTCCTTATGACAGAAGGACGTGTGAAGGGGTAGGTAGCAGCAGGAGAGGGAGAGAAGAGAAAAACATTTGCTTAGAGATTGAAGGACTAAGTTACAGAAGCAGACACAGAGGGCAATCACCCAAAAGAGTTTGCAGTGGAAAAGACTACAGAAAAAGTTTGAAAAGCTGATTGTTTTCCCTTTTCCTGAAAGCCCCGATAGATCCAGGAAAAGAGATGGAACAGAGAATGAGGGGGCCGTTGGGGATCTGATGTATCAAAAGAGGGAGTTGACTAAGACAAGAAAAGATTCCACCTGTCAAGTCTAAATGAAGTGGGCAGCAAAGAAGCCTGGACAAACCAGAGTAAATCCCAGTCTCATTTTATACACTCTGTAAGGATATAAGAATTTGATCTACAACCCCAGATAGGGTAACTGACAAAGCAGGTCAAAGAGAAACCAGTAAAAGAATCGTCTATATGCTCAGGAAAGCTCCCTTCAAAAGATGACACATTATTGCAGTGTCTTCAGCTTCATTGATTCTACTGTAATTCCAGGTCACTCAAAACTTCACAGAAATGGGGTATTGGTGGGGTATTGTATGTCACAGGCCCACATATTAAATCTCTGGCTAGCACCCCCCACAAATATTTGAATTACATGTCAATGCCCATGACAGAGGAGATCTGGCATGATGCTCACTCTCCTTATGCGGGTGTAAGTGGAGATTCAGGTGCATTTTTAATTCCAAATTATAAGGTTTCAAAAAGAATAAACAGTTCGTTATTCAAAACGTAAAGGAGAATGCAGCTTAAAATTTATAATTGGCAAATTATATTTTTAACTGTCTGCCAGAGGCAGGAATATTCCCTCCCTGCTGCCTAAACGTAATTTGGATTTTCTTTAAAATTTAATTAATGCAAACTATCATCTCCAGTAAAATACTACATTAAACTTATGCTTCCTGCTTTCAACAATACTTTAAACTGAACTTCAAAGGTACAAGGCATTTCAATAAAATCTGTAATTATTAACAACCAAGCAATGGATAATTTTGATTGGATTAAAGACAATACCAGGTAATTTTATAGTGAAGTAATTCTCAATTCAAGGAAATGGAGTGACTGTGACAGATAATGGCATAGAAAATAATCAATATAAATTCATTTCTTTGGGTTGTCTCACTCAAGCATGTCACCTAATAAAATCCGTTTTTTTTTTTAATCGGTGCTGAAATAAAACCACAAAACAAGACTGTCTTGCTCAAAAGGAGTGGGAAAATGGCTAAATAAATAAAACACACCCATAACAGAAAAGGCTCATTATTTGCTTTCAATACTCTCCAACACAAAATGGTTCACCAGCTGGTTTCCCTTGACAGCTGTAATAGGGTCATTAATTCAGGTCCTGTCACTCCTGGGCAGATTCACCATCTGTCATGCACTGAGCAGGCAAGAAACAATGAATCCAGCATCTTTGCCCAGTTAACACCCACTGTGTGTGACCAGGGCACACACACCAACTTCCAACGGCCATGATGCCTTGTTCTAAAGGTGTTTTCATGTCTGCTGTTAATTTCAGTACTCAGATTACAGTTCTATACACATCTGTTAACTGAATGTTAATCAAGGCCGAGGGGTAATGTCATTCCTGTTAGAAAGTTAATTTTGACTTTATGCGATCTCTTCCATAAAAAAAATATTTTCAGACTTAAAATTATAATATATTATAATTATATTATAAAAATCAGCAGCATGCAGCACTGGGACCCTGGGTTCAATTCTGAACCTGAGGCGCTCTCTGGTGATGTTTGTATATTCTCCCCATATTCATGTGGGTTTCCTCAAGATGCTCCAGTTACCTCCCACAATCCAAAGAGATACTGGTAGGTTATTTGGCTTTTGGAAACACTGGCCCTGGTGTGAGTGTGTGTGTGTTTGTGTCTGGCTGTGCCCCACCTTGCACCCATTGTCATTAACAGTCAAATACTTTTAAAATACTAACAAGGAAAACCTTTCCACAAACTTGATGTTGTTTGGTGTTTGACATATTCATTGGGACTGAGAACCGACAGGCACATCCTGATTTGCAGTGATCCACTGTTTCCAAACAAAGAATAAAGCAAGTTATCACACATGGATTATTAAAATCTTTTGCAAATGAGATAAAGATCAAGGACCCTGATTCCAAAAGCATTACTTCCCTTGAGCTGAGGTAGCTAAACACTGCCCAGAGCAAGACTGTCTCCTGGTAAAGGCAGATGAAGACCTAAATGATGTTGTCCATATTGGGACAAATGACACTGGCATAAACAACACTCTAAGAAAAAGAAAAATACCATAGAAAAAAACATGAAAGAGAAGGACATAATCAGTAGTTTCTTAGGAATCCTGCCTGCACCATGCCAAGATCATGAAGAACTGTAGTTTTGTTTTTAATCTTTAAACATAACATGTCTGGGTGCTGAAGAAACCTTTCTACGGCAAAGACTAATTCAAG